CGATCACCTGTCAAATACTTGTAGAATGAAAACACTCACACACATATGGATTCGATTCAGCAGCTGGTATTACTGCCCTTGTTTTCCAGATCCTTGCACCTATATTTTTATAAATAAAAAATGTCGACACACCATTGTTTGCTACGCTTATCTATTGTTTAAAAATGATTTATTTATTTTATTAAAATAGTATTTCCGGTCGGGTGGTCTTCAATATACGTTATTGTAAGGGGCAGGAGTACGAAAAAATTCACCCAATTATGCAGGCATAAAATAATTTTATTAAATACTTTCAGTTATGCGTTAAGTGCCAGCTCTGAAACGTATTTACTTCTAGGGATGTAAGCAAACAACGATGCATTGGTGCATGTTGTTAAAACGATATATCGATGTTTTCCGATGTTTTTTTTAACGATGCATCGCCATTGATGTTTACCCAAACATCGAACATTTTTCATATTTGGTCACATTTTTTCTGTGACTTACACGTATAAATAATTTTGTTCGTAAATAATTTTTTACTTTTTTATTACATTCTTTATTTTAATAACTGTGTTCTTACACATTTCATCTCAAAAGTTACTTAGTGATTAAATTAAAAAGGCAAGTTTTTGCTGGTTATGGAATTAATGTAATAATTGTGATAAAGATATCATATACTACATATATGTGAGAAGTGTTACGAAAGTGTTTAATTTATATTTCAAAACCGTATTAAGTTTCATACTTATTAAATTACTAAGAAATCGGTAAAATTAATTAATTAAGTTAGGATTACGATTATTTTTCTTATTGGTTTTTAATATTACGTGATTTATATAAAAGCGTATTTTAATTTATAAACGTCATTGTTTAAAACATCTATGTTAGATTTTCTGAAACAATTTTTTTCAAAACATCAATTGTTTTTTTTTTTTCTTTATTTCGATTTTTTGTATAACCCATCGCGCCGACTTTCGTACCTACAAGAGGGTCGTTTTGCCTCACGAAATTCATCGTCGCTGTGGAGTCTCATCGTGTAGCTAAAATATTCGATGTTGACCTTGCGATTTTTCGGATTTTCTCATAAATAAAATCGGTTAATACTTATTTAAACAAAATTACATGTGATTGTATACAATTTCTTTGTTTCGGTTTTTTATTTTTTTGTTTGCTGGGAAATCCCCGAGTCCTATCGTATACCATTTTAATAATATCAGCAGCACCTTCCACCTGCCCGTACAGCAGATACAGTAGACAGTCAGAGTTGAAAACGAGCGAATATTAGCAGAGTTTCTTTTTGGGTAAGTAATGCAATATTCCAAAATTCCAAAAATAAATAAAATATAATATGTACGTTTATAAAAACAATGTTGAAGTCCATGGATTTCGATGGTGATACGGACGTCGAGAGCAATGAAGGGGGCGATTTCAATGATAATGCTTCTGGGCCCAAATACACAATAAACGACAACGTGGACTCATCAACGTTGTAAAACAAATGGTTAATAATATGAACATAAATAAGATAAGACAAGTCGATAGAGCGATTTCCGTCATACTGTGTGTGTAATGATTTTTTATTTATTTTATAGACAAACACAGCTGTCGATGGAAAAAAAATAAAAACAATAGAGAACGTATACTAAATAAAACTAAAGAATAACAATGACTATAGAAATTACAAAAATATCGAATAACGAATCCGACTTAGTGGGCGGATTTTATTTGCCAAACGGCCAGCCATGACCCGATTCACAGCAGAGAGTAGTCCGAGACGTTATTAGACCTAACTGAGATGAAGAAATAAAATACAAATAAAGATGAAATATGACTAAAAAAAATTGAAATACTTGAATAATAAATATAAATATAATTAAAAGCTAAAGCTGGAGAATTAGTGACTTGATGGGGAAGGTATCCCCCGACTTACAGTGATCCGTGATGGGAGAGAGAGCTTGCTTGCGAATAAAAAGTAAATAGTATTATAATCAGAGCTTAATACTCGAAAAGGTTAAAAATATAATTAATCATTAGTGCATCTGTTAAATAATAGAGGAAACAAGAAAGAAATGCTAGAGTCGAGCGGGCTCATCTCTTAAATACCCAGAAATAAGAAAGAATTTTGAATTTTAAATTAACTAATTAATTAAATAATAATTATCCAATACATACATACATAAGTGGAAACATATGTGTGAAGTTCAGAATTATGTCAACAAACTTCATCAACAACTGCAGAGCCTGGGCAGGTATTATATTTATGACTATAACTTTCTTTCTAATCGATCTATCGTAATGAAACTTAATATACGAAAACATAATCACTAACTGGATGTGACCACCAAATTTAATTTAATTTCAAAATTCCCAGAATTGGGTGAGTTAGAGAAAATCGCGAATAGAGGGGGAGTGGGGGTGTTTAGGAAAAAATGCCTTTTTTGGGGGTAGGAGAATGTACATACCAAGTTTCGTTATTCTAGCTCTTATACTTTTTGAGATCCTTGCGTTCATGCAGACAGACGGACATGACTCTATCGACTTATATTGTCACCCTGATCAAGAATATATATACTTCGTGGACTGGAGTAACTAAACGAGCTAGCAGGAATCTCATAATGTGAGTTCGTTCCTTGAGTAGGCACTCGGCTCAAATCACGCCGCAACCACCATGACAGAAGCATGACTAACAAGAGAGAACGCTACAGTCGAGCAAGCCCTTTACCCAGGTAAACTTCCGTCACTGAGTTATATGCGCCCATAGCAGCAGCAAAAAGAGGAAGAAGAAGAGCGAACTTGTTGCTGCAGTTTGTGGGGGTTGTACTGGCGAGAATTTGTTTTGCTAATAACTTTTCTTAGAATTGACCGAATTGAATAAAATTGAACAACAATAGATAATTATTTATAAATTATGTGTGCAAAGTTTGGTTTAGGTAGCATTTGAAATGTGGACGCTATTGACGAAATTCTGTAGCGGGGGAAGGGGGGGAAAATTCCAAAAAATAAAATAAACTCGTCCTTACTCGGACCTAGGAGAATCTGGATGCCAACTTTGCTTATTCTAGCTTTTATAGTTTCTGAGATCCTCGCGTTCATCCAAACGGACGGACATGTCTAGATCGATTTCTCTCGTCATGCTGATCAAGAATATATATACTTTATGGGGTCGGAGATGCTTCCTTCTGTATGTTACATACTTTGCACAAACCTAATATAGCCTTTTTACCCTACGGGTACAGGGTATAAAAATTGTCAAATATACAAGTATCATTACATTTAATAAATGTCCAACCCAAGACAGATCTTAAAGCTTAAAGATTTACAAAAAAAAAAATAACGGAAAGAAGTCCTTTGTAAATACACCATGTTCATACTCTTAAACGGGTTGTCAGTAGTATCTTTGCCAGATTAAAGAGAAAATTAAATATAGGTTCATTGACTCTGTTGTAAAGGGTTAAGGGTGCCGTTCACAATTCTTGAGTTTGGATAACCTACTAATGTTTGATTGATGTGCTATTTGGACCATAAGTAATACGATAGTTCTAAAGCGACTTTTCCGCAGCCTATGTCGGGTAATACTTATTAAAGAAAAATTACCATTTGGGTACAGGGTATAATTAGGTAAAAATGTGTTCATTTTAAAAGAGACTTTTCAATTGAACTTTCCCCAATAATAATCCGGAATTAAGGTATACTCTAAGTTCAAAAGGTACAAGTCAAATCAAGTAATGCAGCCAATTCCGCCTCATTTGTATTTGACAATGAGATTATTCTAATTAACCTAAGATATAGGTGTAGATTTTTAAAATCATTTATGCCGTTAGCCTGGTGTTATCGACTATTTGGATGTTAGATTGCCATCAAGTTGATCTTCATGCTTTGATGGACATACTTGTAGTACTTAGGTACATTTGATCACAGCTTCCATTGCAGGCGATAAAAGGTGCTTGCTAATACCTGAGTCGATGAAGCACGCGTCTTCCAAGAACATTTGCACACTTCTGTCCAGAGTATATCGAGTTTCAAAGCAATCTCAAGATGTGAGCACTGCCAGAGCCGTTGCAGTCATCGCCATTGCCACGCGCAATGGCCAACCACAGATTGTGATAGATTCGATTACCACAGCGTTTCTTTCTACCTTTCTACCTTCCAAGCTTGTTGGCCAACAGCCAAAGAAGCCAACGAAGTGTGTGCGGGTGCGTAACGGTACACAGAGGCGCTCACATGGCCATCTCCAATCCCCCATCCTCGTCCATCCAAAATGGCGCTGGAAATTTAATACGATGTTGTCTCGAAACTTCTCCAGCAATATCAATCAAAGACGAGCCCTTACACGTATTTACCAAAATGCCAGTTAAATTTAAAAAGCTGACTCCACAATCTAGTCTGCCAGTACGAGTATAGGCAGTGAGTCACTGGCAAGGGGTTTTTCTATTTGCTAGTGATTATTAACTTTTAGCTTGCCAATTTGAGTGCTGGGCACCTCACGTACTTGTTTGTGTACATACCGTTCCGAGTTCAGCTTTTTTATGGCTGTTCCCAATATACACATACATACTCGTGTATCGAGCATGTGTGTGTATTCGTATTAGTGTGTATGTGCATTGTATTTCGACAGTGTTAACATCGTTTTTGAAATGATTGAGATTTCTAAGGCATTTGTCGACGTTCGTGATTAACATCTCAACTGCGGAATCAAAGACGATTCGTTGCTACAAGTATTTCGTCTGAACAACTGAAGATGAATAATCGGAACATGCAACACACATCTTGGACGACTGCACAATGATGAATGAACGCCGTTTCAATCAATATAATTGTATTTATTATCAATAAAACACTCGTTGAGATGAACATTCCAATGAGAGCCAGGAAATTGCTAACTAAAATAGTTCATAATTATAATGTAAGTACGTAGGTAGTGTGGTGTGTGGCATGTGACAAATAAATATAAATATGCTGAGATATTTATGAATGCAAATACAAATACGAATACAAATATAAATAAATAAATAGCTACAAGTATTGTGGATATAAATATATATATGTATATATATATACACTATACGTGTATATAAATGTATATATGTATGCGTGAAACTCGATGTCAATAATTTATATTAATAAATAGTATATCATGCAACTAAGTTAAGATTCATTTAAATGTAATGATAGAAATAATGCGTATACGTAGGCGTAGGTAATTAGAGCTACAACAATTACTACAAGTACAAACTATACTATTCATAGGTATGATGTGAAGTTAGATGACTACAAAAAAAAAAACAAAAAAATGTGCCTGGTTGGCATGGTGATAGCATGATAGGGCGATATCAATTCGTTTTGTTTTTGGCCTTTTATTTTGAACATTACTGTGTAGTTGCGCGGCGTGGGCCTCTAGTGGGTGCGAGTGTGTCCATGACCATGGCCATGACCATGACCATGCCCATGGGCGTGCAAGCGGGATGTAGAGGCTCGCTGTTCGTGCTCGCCGCCCATTGAGCGTGCTCGCTCCTTCTCGATGCTGAGCAGGCGATCGTACTTGGTCTTCAGGATGCGCATCACCTTGAGCGCCTCCAGCATAACGGCGTACTCCAGGGCCGCATGATAGCTGTTATAATTGATCTGATATTGCTGTATGCACACGCCAAACTTCTCGGCCACGTCCCGATTGTGTTGTATCTTCTCCTGAAAGAGGGCCATGGTGCTGTTCGTCTCGTTGTCCTTCAGCATTTTGGTGTCGTTTCTTTCCTTGTACTTGAGCTCCTCCAGCACATCGTACATAATGGAGAGGGTGGTCAAAATACGTGGCATTTCAACCTCCAGCTATAAGGAATGCATAAAAGAGCTTAGACCTCTCCACTCCACTCAGCAGCCTGCCGACTTACCGTGCTCGTGCGCTCGGCCAATACATCGTTGTCATTCAGCTCAATGTCTTCTCTCAGTGGATGGGAGAGGCTTAGGTTATGATATAAATACTCGACAGCCATGCCCTCCTCGTCAAGATGATAATATTTCGATAGCTGTGTATATGTAAAGCGAAGCTTAGCGCGATCCTTTGCGAGAACTCGGACGCATCTCTCCTACTCACCCATTGCTTGAAGGTAGCCTCCATTTGCCATTTTGTCAGTTTGCATGCCTCTATGGCCACCTCAAGGTTCTCGAGCACCTCGTTGTGTGCGCTCGCCATGCTGTCGTTGCACAGCTTGGACCACCGATGGTGCTCCTGTTTCAAATGGTGCTGTTGTTGCTTTTGTTGCTTTTGTTGTTGCTCTCTTTGTATCGCAGACACAACAATAGGCAGCTCCACCTCGTCCTCCGCCGAACGGTGATGCACGTGATGGCGATGTGGCAATATTAAGTGGCGGCCACTCAGCCGGCGCGGAGCAGGAGCGGCGGCAGCGCTCGATTGTAAGCTCGCTGCTATTGCCAGCAGGAGAGTGGCAATGAGCCAGCAGTTGAGAGCAGCTGTAAGATAAAGAAATTGAAATACATTGTGAAAAATCGATTGAATATATTATTTAATAAAATATATTTGGCCCATCAACCCATACAGACTTTCTGGACTGGCACAAATGTTCGATCCATCAAAAAAAAAAAAAAAAAAAAAATAGAGAAATTAATTTTTCAAAAAGAAACCATTACTTATGCCACATGGAGCAGTAATTGTTGCAATTGTTGTGTTGCCAACTAAATGGCAATTGCATTTCAATTGAGTGGACCACCTGCCTGGTGGCCAGCCTGGGGCAGGCCCAGTCTAGCAATGTGGCCAACTATGCACCGATCATGTAGGCAACTGGCTAGCAATGCCAACAATGTTCGCATCTGACTTCAGGCACTTGTCAATGGTTGTCCATCTTCAGTCATTTGTCGTCGAAACAGCCATACTGGCATTCAGACTGGCAAAAAACATTCAGCAAGGCAGCAAGGCAGCAAGCCAGCGAGCCAGCCATTCAGCCAGTCGCACATAATGGACTTAATTGGCTGCCTGTGTGGGCGGGCTGTGGCTAATTGGCTGCCATTTGGCATTTGGTGCCTTTGTTTATCTCAATATCTATGTGTAATTAGCGTGCTATATTTAGTTGCCGCCCAACAAACAACTGGACATATGTCAGAGCTTTAAGCACAAGGGATATACGCCGAAATACTCAGAGATTATTTGGAACGGTCTCAGGGGGCCTCAACAAACAAAAAAAAAAACCTAGCACGCTGCGCATTTATGAAATCCTACTTCAGAACTTGCGGTTTTTGTCGCAATTTAAATAATCACCATTAATGACGTCATGGGTATGACATGACGTGATCGATGTGACGTCGGGACTCACACCGTTTTGTATAATCTTGGTGGCGTGCGCCCAGACGCACTTACATATAAATCGCACGCTCTGGAGTCGTGTGTGGTTAAGAAATCTGTGAATCAGCGAGAGCTACGAGTACAACCGCAAAGTACTGATATGGGGAATGCCCTTATGAAAGAAACTTGAGAGCCAGAGTAATTTGGATAGTTATCCAAAGTTCAAGTGTGGTCAGAGTCAAGAATCGATATTCTCTAGACCTTTGGCATATCTATATATTTTTCGATTCCTTATACAATATATAATATATTTCTAAGATTTATTAACACCACAAAAATAGGCTTTATAAACTTGGCTATTTTAATATTTCATTCCTTTTCTTTTTTATATTTGAATAAATATTTAATTTAATAATTTAATATATTTGTTTCCATTCTTTCATTTTAACAGCTCTTTGTCAGAAACAAATAAATTAAAAACTTCAACATTACATTTTTGAGGAAAAACTTCAAATAATCTTTACGAAAATGCTGACGACCAGAAGAAGCAATTGTAGACTACATACAATCCGTACAACGCGATGTCGGTTCGTCAGTCTAACAGTTCAAAGACTAAGAGCTATCGCGCTGACGCTTCTTCTTGGTGGACACAATTAATATGTGGAGACCCGCCACGTTTTATTACTATATCATATTTAGAAAAGAAAGGGCTTGCAGAAACAAACCAAAAGATGTTAAAACCAAATTGGATATTGAAAATGACGCCCTTATACCGGAAGGTCTTGCTCGGTGGACAACCAAAGTGAAAAAACACATGGCTTTAGGGCACATGGTGCGGGCTCAATACGTACTCAATATATTTTAGAGTTCGTCAGCTATGAAGAAATAAAGTTCTCTTTGTAGAGCACAGTAAAGAAAAAGTCTAAGATCGTTTTCCTTTAAAAAAGAAGTGTAACAATTAACGGAATCTGTGCACTTGAATTGCATGCAAATGTATTTTGTTATTTTCATAATTTCATGCATTCATTTAAATCAACACCAAGAAAAGATTAAAAATGGCTTAATATTGATCATTCACTCTTTCAGTTTTTCTGTAGAGTAAATAATTTTAGGTTGGTTTCTTTAACCCCTCATGGAGAGCAGCTTAGTCTGCTTATCATTGAATTTCACAACACAGGCTGTGCATTACGTATACACCATGTTGGCTGTCCAAGCTAAGCTTTCGCTCAAACACTCATCGGAACACTTACACATGAAACTAATTTTGATTTGCGGTTGCTTTCTATGCTGTTGGCTCTGTTGGTGTATCTGCTGTTGAATTTGTTCTTGCCGTTGTCGACTGCAGTTTTGTGATAATAATTTAGCGTTTTTAATGGCTTGCTCCGGCTGCTGCTGCTGCTGTTGTTGTTGCTGTTGCTGCTGCTCATGCTGCAGCGGCAGAGCCATAACTCTGAACGTGGAAACAGCCACAGGATGTTCAAAGCCATTGCCAATTAATGGCGGCGGCGCTTTCATACTTTCGGCCAGGCTAACAATTTTTGTATTACGACGCATCGCAAAAGCGCCGCAAACACTAAGCATCGATATATTGGGCATTCCTGTGTATTTACAGTCGCGCACAAACACTCGCGGAAAATGTTTGTGATTAATCACAAAGCATTTATTTATTGAAAAAAAATATAAGAAAGCTAGACTTGGCCACTTGTCGAGGGAAACGATATTGTTGGCTATTCGAAATTTTGGTTTTGTGTTTCTCTTCTCTTTTTAAGCGTTTAGATATTGAAAGCCGGAACTCCGTTTGGCACAAGTTAACGCTTCAAGATCTGTTAGTTATTTATATAAAAGGTGTGCGCCGCGTGGATATATATACAGGTGTACGGTATGGCCCGATTCACCGACCGAACGATCGCAGAGCGAACTCACGAAGCCTCATCATTCGGCTTAAAAGCATCTACGCAAAGAGGCAGTGGCAATGCCAAACAACAGTAATAACAACAAAAACAACAAAAACAACAACAACAACAGCAGCAGCAGCAACAACAAAAACAATCACAACGGCAGCAACAGGTAAGAGAACAGCAGCAAAACAACAAGAACAACACACGAAAACCGCTCTAATGAGCAGAAAATGTGATGACGACAATTGACAATGTAGCAGCTTTGTTGTTGTTGCTTTTGTAATACCAACCAATGGCATGTAAGCAAAGGCGCACGCCCGCAATCACGCACACACACACATACACAGCTACATACTCATCAACGCACATATCCATACAAAAAATATATTTTAAAAATTGTACAGAGCGTGCGCCGCCAAAGCTAATGGCACACGAAAAAAGAGCGAGCACACACACACACACACACACACACAAATACGAGCATAGAGCCGACGACAACGATGCGGAGTCGAAGCGTGTGAGCAGCGGGCCCTCGCTCTTTGGCTGCTGGACAGGCACGCGTTGGGGAAACTCATGCACCCACACACGCAAATCGGGAGAGGGAGAGCGACAGAGAGAGAGCAAAGTGTAGAGAGAGGAAGAAGCAGTCTCAATGACCCTGACTCCATTTGGACTGCCCAACCCCCCCATGTGTCAGAGCAATCTGAGTGAAAAAATTTCATATTTTACAACTCCGTACCGGAAAAAACATAATTAGGATATACTTGTGTACATATACGTATGTACATAGGTACTATACTACGATGCACTTAAATTGTGTGGGCCAAGTCTAAATTGTCATTTTATGTTCATATCTTTCACGCATCAACTACCTAAGTCTATATAGTTTGTTTCGCATCAAAATCGAAAAAGCACGAAAAAGCATTTCCCTTTGCAATTTTCTTTTCCCATATTGTCAGTACTATTAATTGGACTTTACACTCATTTCAACAGTATCCATTTCTCAATGTCTGAAGACTGATGAATACAATTTTTAAAATTGGCCGACATTTTTGTTGTATTTGTTGTTTGTAGTAAGTCATTGTTTTTGCTCATCGAATCACTATTTGTGAGGGGCATTCCAATCAGTAGATGATGCTGCCACATTTCTGTGGCACACTGCCTGCATTGCGTTACAACTGGATGCGTGACCAATACAATGTCTGGCATGGGCATTAGAACGTGATCTGGGCTATGTGTACTCGATGTGCTAACAGATTGTGAGTCATTGAAAACATAATTGCCTCATATACTTGTAAGATTGCCGCAACCCCATTGGGGGTGCGGGGGTAAAGTGCTAGGGAAGCGACCTTGGGAATTTTGCCTGCAACTTTTTCAAAGTGCGCGTAAATTCCACAAATGGGCAATGCGTTGGCCGGTGCCCAACTTGTTGCACAGCACAGCCATACATTATCAGCTGTTAATGTAGTTGTTGTTGTAGTTGGTGTTGTTGTTGTTATTGCTGTTGTTGCTGCTGCAGTAGTGCTATGGCTTTTACTTGTTATGCTTTGCCTGCTATTCATAATTATTTTCTTCCTGCTTGGCCGGCAAATTAAATTTATGCGCGTGCCGCCAAAACGGATGTCACATTGCACTTTGCATTGTTTTCGTTTCCTCTCCAGCTCTTCTTTTCTCCTGCAGTCCCCCATTCTCTAATACTAAAGTTCACTTTGCGTTTTTGCAATTCTCATTCTGGCTTTACCCATCGGCATGTTGGCCAATGCAATAACTACTTTTAATTCTTGACAAGATAACTATGGGACTAATAGTTTATTATTCAGAATCAGCGGAAGATTTTGTGAAAAAAAAAACAAATTACAATTAAAATCGCGATTTAAACTAGACCGCTTTTGAATGAAGAACAAGTACAGTCAAAACTCCCTTGGCCGGACACTCACAGTCGGCCAAATTTTCTCCACCCAAGGGCAGTGTGCGTTTAACGAAAATTGTAGAAAAAGTGTCCGTCTAAGAGGGATGTCCATTAAGAGAGTTCTCATATCTTAAGGAAAGCGTAAGTCGCCTTTACTTTAATTTTAGTGACGATTTCCTTTAAAGTAGAGTGTCTTCTCAAGATTTTGTATTATTGAGTGCATTTCGAAATTTCCTTAAATAGCACTAATTAGTGTCGAGTATGAACGTTAAGACGCTCCCTTAGAACAAATCAAATGGTAATTAATTTTTTCAAAACATTGTAATAAGAGTTGAATGTTAGTATATTAGACTATAGTGTAAAAGAACGAAATCAATTCAGAATTCAAATTCAATGAATGAAGTTCTGTTTCCAGTTCGAATAATGTATTTGGGTTAAAAGCTTAGATTGTATTGTACTCTAATTATAGAAGTTTTAAACGAGATAGTACAATTGAAATGGCATCCTTTTTAAAAAGCCCAACTCAACTTGAAGGCAGTCATTTGTTAAAACTCGATTACTAAAAAACCGTTCTTAAATGTGTAGACATTAATAGGAAGACCTTTAAAATGAAACGCCCTGTGAATTATTTTCAACCGTACTGCAGAATGTTAGTAGAAGAGCCCGAACTAAGGGGCACGCACCATTCGTTGCCATTTTTGAGGCCACTGCGATAGCATTAGCAATGTCGGAAACGGAGATGTGGATATTGCTGATAATGGTTTTAGGCGGAAAAGTTCTATATACTCATAAATGAAATGTGAAATTTATTGAGACATGTATCCGGCTCAGAAACTTGTCGACAGATTTATGTTTTTGAGATACGCGCCGCACTGTTGCAAATTTTTTGGGCACATTTGCATGTAGCCGTATGTACGAGTACTCGAAATCGAATTGTTGATTTTGTTTTCGCTGTTGTTTCTTTCTTGTTTTTACGTTTGTTTCTTTGCTGATTTTCGCGCACATTGCGTAGCTGCGTAGGCATTTCCGATCAGCAACACAAAACGCGAGAGTGTGTGCGAGCCTGATGTGCCGCAAATGAAAACTGAAAGCCAAACAAAAGAAAACAATTGCAAAAAACAATGAACCTCTGCCCAAACTGGCCATCGCCATCACAGAGAGCAGATATGCAAACAATACCGGCACCGAAACCGTCACCTGCACCGGCACCAGCACCAGCACCAACACCAGCACCAGTACCTGCAGCTCTTAAAGAGAGACAAAGACACAGGCAACGCGGTGTTGCGTATAAGAGTGGACGGTAGAAGTTCCAGTCGAGTTGCAGTTGCAGAACCAACAGGTGCTCGTTCAAATTTTCAGCTCATGGAGTGCGTTAAGAGCGGCCCAGACAGCAACATTTTATTGACGTTACTCATACGCCGCATTGTCATGGCCCACTCTAACGGACCAGACCGGAACGAACCGCACCGTACACACGCGTACTTATGAAACAATGCATATGCATACGAATACACGCATGGATATACTTGTATGTAAATACGCGTGTTTATATGTATGAGTTGCACATCCAGCTCTTGAGGTTTATTCATATACTTGCAGTATACAAATATATCAAATACATTTTCCTGACTGACGAACTCTTAGCGCTTTCTTTTACAGTGTAGGTGAGCTGAACAAGAAGCGGGCTTGGAAAACTGGAACTACAAAAGAGGGAAAACGAGCTCCAACGATTTTTAACTTGCATACAAAGATTACAAAATATCCCGCAAAATAACTTTTTTTTTAAATGTTGCTTCGGGCCAGAGTTATCAGAGTTTTTGATTCAAGTTGTCTTTTAGATATAAGTCGAATTCCAAAGGATAGAAAACGGGTTCCAATGTTATTGTGAAAATTCTACATTTTTCGTCGGAATATCTTTAGACTTGACTGCATACAAAATAAACTGCAGGCACGGTATTTCTTAAACTATTCTTGGGGCTTGAAATACTAGCTATGAAAAATCTAAAAAAAAAAATTTGTGTTAATAAGTTCCTCCGTATATAATTAAGTAGAGCTACAACTTGGTGTTTAGCGATTTTCAAATTGTAGAAATAATTTGTATACCCTGTACCCAAAGTACCAGCAAAAACAAACAACACAGTTTAATATTGACTCACAAAAATGCGAAAAAACCTGCACGAACCACAATAAAAAATGGAAATCGCGCTACCTAAAACTAACTTAAAATATCTCATAAAAATACCATGCGCTGTTTATGGTTTATGTATTTTGTTGTTGAAAAAGGGAAGTTGGAAAAATTTAGGCCATATATGCATAAATTAATATTTTTCAAAGCAATGATCCGTTTAGCATTATAACATATTTTTAATTTTTCTTAGTGGTTCATCATAATGAACAATTTGTTCGATCGATCATTCGCATCGGACTGGCCATGGCGTATGCTATATGTATTTTAAGCTTATTATTCGATTGAAGATGCATAACTTTTTACATCAATGCTGAGCCATGCTATAAACAAATTCCGCCGTGCATGAACGTACGTGTTCTTAAAGGGAAATTTCATGATCGTATAGTGTGTTGATTGAAACAAGATGAAGCCACCCGATCAACAATATTCCCCGATTAAGTGCTTTCAGTGTTAAACTTTTTCCTTTTTCCTTTCAACTTATAACGCTATACATGTGTTCAAAAGAACTCTGAAAGTGATTTAGAGCTACGCCTATTCTGAGAACTTTTCCGATCTACAAAAATAGAATCACGCCTGATCGATCATTCAATATTCCCAGCCTTCATACTGAATTAGAAACACCAAACAAAGATGTGAAACGTATTTGTTGCATGCTTAGTCAACCAAATAATCTAAAACTTACTCTGGTTATCAAACTCATATAAAGTATATAGAAGAATACAAGTATAAAAAATATAAGAATATTTATATGTATAAATGTATGTATATGCTTTCAATATCTTAGCAAAGTATTATGCTACTGGATAGTTGCCATATAAATTTATCTGGAAATGAGTTAAAGAGCTGACAAGACATGCTAATATTTCCATGAATAAGTAGCTTCAATTGCATTTTTTAAGCAATTAAAAACTACTTTCCGCCACTTAAAAGCTTATATATTTAAAATATATAAAAAGACAGAACCTTTACAAGAAATTAAGAGCTAATCTTCACAAATATAAGAAAATTATACAGCAAATTAAGTCCTCCATAAAAATACCTCAGCATATTTGGAATGAAAGTCCTATCAGGATTACTCTAATAACTTCTTTTGTCATATTAGGCTTACTGTAATAAACAAAATAGTTTGACAGCAAACTACTTAACTGATTAACTTCATTTACGAGTGAGCCTTTTAAGGTTTCAACGATAATCTATCAATGCGAATCTTGTTTTATCCAATACATACGTATTTATTCATTCCCATTTCAAAATATATTTTGTGGGCAGTTACTTTTAGTCAAGACTAGCACATGTGCGTAGCGTAACTTTAACATTTGAACAATTTGTTTTTGTATTTATTCTGTTATGTGTAAGTCATATACGTAAATACTGCCTTGCGATATGTGGATTCTATGCGGGTGAAGCTAATACTTGTATGTGATATATTTTTAATTCTTAAATATAACATAAAAGAACCGCCATTTGAAACATGCGTGAGATGGTAATCAATTAAAGAACTCCGTGGTGTTGTTATAATGTTGTTTTTTCTTCGAATGAAAAATGAAACCATTTTTCTGCTTTGCTTAGAATATAAAGGAATGCTATTTGAAGAATAATTTTTACACAAACATGTACAAACAACATTAAACTTTGAGTGGGTCATGGCAGTTTACTTGTATTAAACATTTTCCAATCTGTTTTTCCACATTAAAGATGTGAACTGTGAACAAATTATGGTGGCTTTTTGAAGCATTCTCTGGCATTCCATGCTCTTTATAAAAGCCAAGCTGCAAAAAGCTGAGGGGCAGGTAGGAGTTTATTTATGTTTCGGGCTTGCCTCGTATTCAAATTAAATAATAACTGGGCTATCAAATCGGCCGAACATTGAATGCCGGCTAATTATGGAATAAGGCTGATAGAAACTGATAAGATGTTAGCCTGGCAACGTCTTCACATAATGCCGACCATCCAAGCGCGTGTCAATCCGAGCCCCCCAACCCCATGTCCAACCCCAATCTGAACCAGCAGGGGATACAAAAACAATGACAGCGTCAACAAATCAATGCGGCTGTCATGGCAAAGCGTTCGCTTTGCTAATTTTCGCACATTAGGTGCGAAAATATAACAACAAGTGACGACGACGATGGAGACGGCGGTGACGACGACAACAACCAATACCTATACCTATACTATATCTATATCTATACTAGTTAAGTGCTGTGGCTATTATTATATCGCACAGCGCAATACTTACATAGATATACTATACATACTCGTATGTACGAAATGCCTTTAATTTGCAATGTCAGCGCCTGGATGGGACGAAGCGACTTGGACTGGGACTGGAACTGGGACCCAGCCCTGCTGCTGTCTATATACTTTTTTTAGAAATGATGAGCACCACACTCAGTGCACACAACATGATGACGTTGGCACTCGTGTTGGCATAGGCACCAGCGTCAGCGTTGGCCAGACACAGAGACAGGGACTGGGACTGGGCCTGGGGCTGGGACGGAGACAGGGACAGGGACAAGACCGAAGTCACATCCGTTACAGGCGCCTAGACTTTAGTGTTTGTCGATGACGACATCGTATGTACATTGCCATAATAATACATAATACGTACTTCTAATTGTTCATACATACTATAATAGTATGTATAGTATGTGCATGCCTCTATTTATGAATGAAGCCTCACTACCCATTGACGTTTCTTTCGACTTATCATTTTACAACCTGGTGTACAAATAGCGGACATATGTATATTAGTACATTAGTACACACGTTCTCTACTCATGGATTCTTCGTAAATTTCCGACGCATACATATTTCATTCATACTTCTATCATGATGGAGAACAATGCCATTGAGAACTCATTTAACCATTCGCAACGGATAGGCCGGGTAATATAAGTGAGTAATGCCAAGAATCTGTGACTGTGCGACAATTTGAAAGTAGTCCAACTCTTTTCCTACAAGTATAAGTTCGGGGGGTTCTTCCACTTGAACACATATATGTAGGTATCCATCGTAGATGGTGTTGCTAAGGCACAGTGCTCAGGCGACAAATCTGGTAAAAACCCTATTAACATTTTTATGATTCCTATCAACAAATTTGTTGAATAGAAAGAATGAAGTCTTTATGATACATAAACCTTTGCATTGCTCGCTAAGCAGACTTTGACGCCACGTTCGCTAATTGCCAGCCACAACAAAGCATTTTGGGGAAATTTCGATTTGGTTGATTTGGATTTGAGTTACCAGCTCCCCTGGATCGATATTAAGAACAATTATTGGCGTCTAATCATGACTCTTTACTTTATATTGGGTTCCCTCGTCCATAAAAAACATGTTTGCTGAATTTATGGAAAGTACAGCTTCGGGAAGCTTCCATAACTTTTCGAACTTAAAGTATGCCAGCATCACCTCATCCTAGCTTATTGAGAACTGCAGACTAAAAAGTCCAATTCTTTTGATTCATTTACTTTAGTCAATCGCAATCTTTCTGAATGGTTAGGCACATGCCGTAGATACAGATAAGAATGGATGATACGAATCCAAATCATGATGATCTTCTGTTCTTTTGCCCTTTTGTATGCAGCAGTATCACTCATGCTCTGGCCTTAATAGACTCAGATATATCAAGACCGACTTTGCCAGATCCGTGTATGATTAGCATATTAAACCATGTACGCACAGTGTTAACAATTGTGTGAGAGTGAAAATAGTTGTATTAAGTACAAATTAAATGATCGATTTAAGCACATTTTGTGCTTGGCGATGGATTTACATATAATTGCTTTAATTGCTATTAAGGACATCATTAAGGACATCTTTCATAGATAAGTACAAATATAATCATTATATAGTCATAATGATTTGTAGTCAAGACCCATTTACAATGGTACTGAGTTTCCAAAAAACATACATACGTACGACACATATTCGATCTAGAATTTTTGTTGAATCTTTTCTCCCTGTTACTTTATTTCTCTTCCTGCCACAGTGTTGAAACTAAAATAAACGTACGAGGAAACTAAAAACGGATATAGTTCTAATGAGGAGTCGTTTGTTTTGAAATGAACAGTGCAGGATATTTATTTATTTGACAAATATTATAACATAATATTAATACTAACACATCTGATTACTTATACAGAAAAAGAGAACTTCTTAGCTCCTTAGCATATATATTTTTCTAATTTAATTGCGTTGCTATTTTCATTGTTTTTATGAAAACTCCATGTATCTTTTGTTATTATTAATGGATAAATATTTATATTTTTGCATTCAATATTAATATTCTTGAACGCTCACAAATGTTGTTTGATAATACCTTTAGCTATTAGAAGAACATGAACTTAGTTCAGAATATATCCCAATTCTCCACAATGCCCTTGCAATAACTGCTTTAATGGAAAGGTAGAATATAGTTGGTGGCTTTTGCAAATCCTTAGCCGGCCCGGACACAAACACACAGTAATGAGAACAACAACAAAAGGAAAGTTAAGAGCGTCATCAAGATTTGCCAAACTAAGTATGTTTACTTAAAAAATAAGCTTGGGGCGAGAGATGAGATGAGACGAGATGAGATGAGATAACAAATCAAATCAAGTGCCAACAAGAACTGTGTGCGATTTACGCGATCACCTGGAAATACCCTAGAAACAAAGTTCATTACACATTGTACTTGTACGACTGAGCGGTCGTCGCCGCGCAAGCTAGCCGTGTGTCGAAATGGTTGTTATTGTTGCTGGCCAACCTGTCTAACTGACCACAGACAAGCTGGCTGGTTGGCTGGCTGGCTGGCGGGCTGGCTGGCTAGCTACTTACTGTTAACTGCGATATCTTTAGCTTCGGGCTCAGCGGGTAAATCACCGGGCACGCTCATTCGCAGTAGTCGGTCGAGCAGATGTGGCCGCGTCAATATTTGTTTTTGTTTTTAGAAGTCTGGTTTCTGTTAACGGATGCACACGATCGACGTGCGAGCCCATCAGCGATGCCAGTTAGTGCTGCTACCAAGAGATCGGCAGGCGAGCAGGCGAGCAGGCAGAGTGCCAAAGCAACATCGTTTCGAACTGGCACACTCATTTGTTTAGATATGAAATTATGAATGGGCTTTGAGTACACGAATTAGCTATGACGTTGCAAAAGCAATCAGACCGACAGTCAGGCAGTTAGACAGTCAGTCACACAGTCAATCAGCCAGTCAGTCAGTCAGTCATACAGCAAGCAAACAAACACTTGCCGACGCGATTGAAGCCGCATAGATAAACCGGCGATGAAGGCAGCTTTTATTTTTGGAACATTTGCTTCAGTTTCCGACACGGAGCGACCATTACGCGGCTCATTGTTGTACTGTTGTACTTTTTTTTTTGGCAATCGGAAACTTTTACCGGTAAGCGTTCGCGCAAGTAGTCGCTAAACCACAGTAAAATGGGAGAAAATTGGGCGTAAGAAAAAAAACCACCTCTGAGGTGTGAAAAGTTTCCTGCCAATGACACATACGAAGATTTGTAAGAAACTGAAATATCACTTAGGAGGGTGCAGTCTCAACAGCAATTCTTTTTGCAGCCAATTTGGAGCTATAGTGGACGACTCATTACTCATACGCCCCGTGGAAACAATTAAATGCGCGTGGGTCGCTTGTAGCCACATCAATTTCGTAATAATAACTATTTATATATTTATGTAATAGCGTGGATTCCATTTGGAAATCTGGCACACTCACCTTTTCAGATAGGCAGTATTCCTGGACGGGTCGGAAGGTCAACTCTACAACTGAAACGATAAAATGCAGAGGGAAAGATTATAGTAGAAACCGCTGTACAACAGTATTCAAACACTTTTGTTTGAATTTCTGAGAGGGTAATAGGAAAATTGGCTGTATGAATAATTGGAAAATTAACTGTAGAAAAAAAAAATAAATCAAACTCTTTATATTAATGCGTTTACGGGCATTTCCACAGAAAAGGCCACCAAGACCGAAAAATTAAAAGTTAAGTTGCAGAATTAAAGAGAAATGTTAAAATTTAATTACATTAAAGAGTTCATAGCTCTATTTAGTAGCGATTGCGAAATATAGGTCTAAAAAGTTTAAGTTCACGTTGTACTTGTATATTCTAAGAGCATTTTGTTCCCCCCATTATATATCTAAGAGTTAATGTGCAACTGAGCTCCTTTTGCAAAATTCTTGCAACAACAACAGCAAACCTTAAAATGAAGTTGTTCAATAAATTCAAAGAATCAAACAAATATCAATTAAGGGTAAATTTTGGATTTGTTTCGTCACGTTAGAAAAATGCCATTTATTCTCATTATCTCTACGCTGATGATCGCAAGTGCGTGAAAATGGGTTTTAACCACCCAATTTGATTAAAAACCTTGGTTATCAAGCAAATAGTTATTTTTATTTGCACGTTAGACTATAAATAGTTTCCGTGTGTGGTATTTTGTTTATTTTCAAGGTACTCTTAAGTGCGGCCTATGCCGATGGAAACTTCAAATGAAGGTAAAATTATTTGAATAACATACAAGTATAAATTCATTGCAAAAAGTTTTTCTGATTTTCCTTCTGATTTTTGTTGCAACGTTTTCGATTGGCATTATTTTTATTAAACTTCTCATGGCAAAGGTGCGGTCGATGGGAAAATTTGGCCACCCAAAAAAAACACCAAAAGAATGATTCTAGAAGATGCTTTTTCGTTTCATAAATGTGCTCGAATGAACATATTTGGGATTCGTTTAACATACATTGCTTCAGAGCAAGTGGACAAATTTTCTACTTTTTAACTGAGTAGTGGAAGGTGTTGCCGAATAAACCTAGGATACACCAGATTTATTTTGCATCTAGCCGCGAAGACTTCCATATACAAGCATTTTCGACTAGAAGTTGTGTATTTAATATTCTAATACTCTCCATGCATCATATTCTAATTTCTTGTTTTGTTCCAATAATCGTTCTCTTACAATGAAAAATGAGAACTGTATATTTTCCAAAGTAAATTTTTGTCACGTCATGTCCGACAAAAGGTCAAAACAAAAAAACGACGAGAATGGATTTTTGAATTGCATAACTTGGGTTATAAACTTCTATTATTATGTTAAATCCTGCTGAAAAATCAAGCAAAAAGTCTCTCCTAATTCGCAGAGTTTTGCAATCCAAGTCAACACCCGCTTCCATTTTTTGTCACGTAACGACAGGGATTTTTTGACTCATATCTTTGAAACTTTGAGATCATTTTTGTTACTACATACGAGCATTGTGTTGATAAACTACTAAGCAAATAAAAAACTTTTTGAAAAATTTGCTTTTTCATTTATTTATTTAATATGTCGTCGTACGGATGTCACGTCACGTCAGATTGGAAATGCCCATAAGAGTGACTGTAGCGCTGACACTCCCTCAATGGTTCCTCAATCAATAAAAAGCGATAAAGAAGTCGTCTTTGTTGTATTATACATACTTGTACAAGTATATGTAGCTTCTAACAATAGTACGTCGAACTGTTTGTTGGTATTTCCTAATTTTGTTGTTGTTGTTTAATTAAATATCTTATCTTAAATATGTAGAGCAAGTCCGCAGGTGTGTAAAGCGTCATGGAAACTAGAGAAGGCGCTACAGTCGAGCAAGTCCAACAATGAAATACCCTCAACCCACTTCCAAAAAGAAAACATAACAATTATTTTAATATGTATTTGTTTTCTTCTACTATGACTGCACTTCTGAATGGCGCACATTACTCAAAAATTGATTTTTAAGGAAAAAATTTACAACAAGGTTCAAAATATAGTTGTGGGTTTATGTATATATATGTATATAAACGTAAAATTGAATGAATTTGGATCTTCATTTTTACAAGTGATTGTTGTGTGTAAGTATTTACAAAACCCTAACGTATTTTTTATATTGAATAAAGTCAATTTATTTTAATCGCCTCAATAGAAAACAATTAAAATAAGCAACAACAAAAAAAAATAAATTGTATATATCCTCTTAACCGGATACTCCGCTTGGCCGGACAAAAGTTGGCCGACGGTGTTCACTGTAATTAACTTATAACAAATTATCGTAGTAAATTATTTTTATTAAAAAGTATTCAACAACATTCGGATTCATAGTCACTAACGGAATGAAATAACCAAACATTTAAGAGTTACGGGAAGTAGGGCGCTGTATCAGAATAATAAACAAACTTGACCTACTTAGGGGAACCTAGAGTCCAAGTTTGGTTATTCTAGCTCTTGTACCTTCTGAGATCGTTGCACTCATATAGACGGATGGACAGACGGACGAACATGGCTATATCGACTCGGCTTGGCCCCCTGATCAGAAATAAATATACTCTGTGGGGTCAACAACGCCTGCCTCTGTTACATTCATTCGCAGGGTATACTATCTAGCCATGCATTCTCTTGTTGCGTATTAAACAAATACTAATTTTTGAGAAGTCTCCGACATTTAAGCTTCTAATTATTAATTATCGTGTCCATCGCATCTTTTATGACCATTCTTCGAAAAATAGCTTTCTAAAATCTACATCGAATGTAACTTATATTTTCTCTGGACTTGTTCTTATAATTTCAAGTACAAACTAGGATTAGACGCTTAACTTAAGAGTTTCCTTTTCACCCATAGACAACTATAAAGTAATTAAGTCGTTAACGGTTTTCGGAGGACTAATTGAATTGGTTTTCCCCAGAATTATTAAGTTCCATTTAACAATGTATGTAGCTTCCCACCAGCACACCATACAATATACTAGTTGTTCGGAAAATTTTATCAAATTTGTTTGTTCTGCAAAAGTATGCAAGTATTTGTAAATATCGAAGAAGCTACTTGGGAATGGATTGAATTGAATAGTAAGATGACATAAAACATATATAGTAGTATCTTATTAAGAAGCCAGTGCGGTGAGAAGAGAGGTACAATCTAGTCTCCTCCTTCATACTTTTATTGCAAAATATTTGAGAGTGCACTTTAAAGAATATTTTCACATGGAGCTCCTGACAACATATTTGTAATTTATACACAAAATACAAAATAAGTACACAGAAGTAGAAATAGCTAAAAAGTATTCAATGCAGGACACTTGGCTCAGACCAGCACCGTGGCGTCCAAAAATCGGAACATCTTGTGGCAGTTATATGATAAAGTAGTTCGATTTGTAGCGACATTATATAAAACTATAATGTGTCACCTTTGGTTTTAGTATCTTAGGCTAGTTTATCTCGTCGTGACTGCCAATAGTAGCCTTCTGGGTGTTACAAATATCATAGAAGGGTATAATAAAATAAAAATATCTGAGTCAGGTGTCTGCAAAAAAAAGGTTGTCGACCGCGCGCCCCTTTCATAATATTCTTAAAGTTTGCAGGACTCTTTCTTTCTTGAGAATGGGCTAATAACAAATCAATGGGAATATTTGACATCCCAATGAGCCTCTATAAGCCAAAGTTTGTGGGAAAATACCACCGCTTCAGCCATCTCATCTCAATCAAACCTAACCTAACTACTCTCAGACCTTAAATCGTTGCCGAATTTTGTAAATATTGATATATGTAAAGCTACCGGTCATTTAGCAAGGCTACCAAAGAAAAGAATTCACACATGTCCACGGACTAACAAGAAATTCGAAAAACAGAATAATATTTGCAAACATTGCTTTAAAAAAAAGAGAAGCACAATTATTGATCTGCAGCTGAACTAGTTTTCAGATCATAGTTATTTTTGTGTATATTTATATGAATGATGCTTCATGGGGCTTCAGTCATTTATGTTCATGTTTTTTTTTTTTTTTTTTGGCTTAGATCGTTGATTCAATCTCCTCGTCAATCTGTCGGACTCATCAAAAATCCCTAGCAGTGTTTTTTATTCCGAATTGTACTTGCCAA